ACGGGCAGAACTCACAGTAACACTGTGCCTCATCACTAAACACATTCATCATCACTTCTGCCTTTCCTTAGCCTCAGTTGTCCTGTACTAAGTGTGGAGATGGTGCACTCCATCAGTCCCCCTCCCATATCCTGTCTGCTGGGATTCTCACTCTATGCAGAGGATGTTTGTGCTGGATGTATCCTCCCTTCCCTTACCGGCCAGGGAAGGAGAGACCGACCATGTCAGCGGAGGGTGAGACAGCAATGGAAAGTTACTCTTCTCAATACATAGGGATGCCAGGGGTGATGATGTCACTTGTAAATGGTTACATCGTACTGTGGGGGAATGATGTCACTTGTAAATGGTTACATCGTACTGTGGGGGGAATGATGTCACTTGCTTGTGGTTACATCTTACTGTGGGGGAGGGATGATGTCATTCATCCGCGCTTGTGTTGTACTGTGGGGGGGATGATGTCACACGTACATGGTTATGTCATACTGTGGGGGAAATGACATCATTCATACACGGTTATGTTGTACTGTGGGGGGATGATGTCATTCGTACACGTTATGCTGTACAATGAGGGGGTGATGTTGCTCTTACACGGTTACGTTTTACTGTGGGGGATGATGTCACTCATACGTAGTTATGTCGTACTTCGGGGGGAATGATGTCACTCATACATAGTTATGTCGTACTGTGGGGGATGATGTCATTCGTACATAGTTATGTCGTACTTTGGGGGGAATGATGTCATTCATACATAGTTATGTCGTACTTTGGGGGAATGATGTCACTCATACATAGTTATGTCGTACTTCGGGGGGGAATGATGTCACTCATACATAGTTATGTCGTACTGTGGGGGATGATGTCATTCATACATAGTTATGTCGTACTTCGGGGTGAATGATGTCACTCATACATAGTTATGTCGTACCGTGGGGTGAATGATGTCACTCATACATAGTTATGTCGTACTTCGGGGGGAATGATGTCACTCATACATAGTTATGTCGTACTGTGGGGGATGATGTCATTCATACATAGTTATGTCGTACTTCGGGGGGAATGATGTCACTCATACATAGTTATGTCGTACTTTGGGGGGAATGATGTCACTCATACATAGTTATGTCGTACTTCGGGGGAATGATGTCACTCATACATAGTTATGTCGTACTGTGGGGGAAATGATGTCACTCATACATAGTTATGTCGTACTTCAGGGGGAATGATGTCACTCATATATAGTTATGTCGTACTGTGGGAAGACAGTGAAAGGCGATTATGAATTTAAAAAATGCTGAATTTATGCCACATAAACACATGCTATTGATGCATGTGTGAACAAGCCCTTAAAGTCTACTGTCCTAGAGGCAGCAAGATTATTTATCAGTCAAATTAGTGAGAGTAAATGGGAACAAAACATTATGGTTCACTAAAGAGGTAGGTAGGATAGTAAAGGAGAAAAAAACAGCAGGCCAAACACAGTAATCAGTGCTGCTAAAGCATAGAAAATGGAGGAATGGCTAACCTTTGTTTAAGTATGTCAGAGATGGAAGGAAAAAATACAATGGGATGACTAAAATGAAAACTGGGCACAACACGTTGCTGAGGGAGATCTGGATGTAGCAAACCAGTTAAACAATGACTTCTATTCAGTCTTCTCAGAAATAAATTGCACTAAGAATAACAAGTTGGGGGATCATATTGGTTTTTGTAATGGTGGTTAATTTTCAGGATTTCTGGAAACGTAGCAGGAGAACTGGCTCAGCTAAACTTAATGGGCCCTGATGGTATTCATCCCAGAGTTCTAAAAGAGCTGAGGTGTAGATGTTGGCCCATTAGCAGATCTTTTTACAAAATCTAACAGAAGTTCCCCATGACTGGCGGACAGCTAACATTGCACCTATCCATAAGCCGGGAAGCAAGGTAGAAGCTGGATATCACAGGCCAGTGAGTTTAACATCCATTGTAGTCAAGTTACTAAAGAAGGTCCAGTGATCACATAAAAGCACACAACTTCCTGGACCCAAAGCAGCATGGCTTTACGGAGGGAAGATCATATCAGACTAATCTGATTAAATTTTTTTACTATATCACTAATGTTTTGGACCAGGGTGGTGCTGTGGACATAGCCTATCTTGATTTCAGCCAAGCGTTTGATACAATTCTACGTACATAATGATCTAATAAAAAGTTGTACAAACCAAGACTTAACCCTTGGGTGGTTCAGTGGATACGCAGTTGGTTAACTACCAGAATTGGTTGTAAATGGAACAGAGAATGGTACCACAAGGCCTCTGTACTAGGTCCTGTTCTACTGAATCTATATGTAAGTGATATAACTACAGGGTTGGTGGGTAAGGTATGTCTTTATGCTGATGACACAAAAGTGTGCAATAGGGTTGATATCCCTGTAGGTGTCTGTAACATGGAACATGATTTGGCACTGCTGCAAAATTGGTCAAAGTGGTGGAAACTGAAGCCCAATGTTTCCAAATGTAAAATTCTGCACCCAGGGAACAAGAATCCCCTGATAAAGTACAATATTGGGGGTACAGTGTTGGCAAACACTACAGAGGAAAAAAGATTTCGAAATACTTATTTTATATGATTGCAAAATGAGCAAACAGTGTCGGCACGCAGTGGGAAAGCAAACAGAATTCTAAGATGCATCTGTAGACGATTCACCAGCAGGAGAAGTAGGTCCTGCTTCCCCTTCATAGATCTTTAGACCTCATTTAGAATACTGTATCCAGTTCTGGAGATTTCATTTACCAACAATATTGATAAGATAGAACGAATCCAGAGATGGGCAACAAAAATGGTGAAAGGTGTGAGGGATACAACATTTCAGGAGATATTTCAGGAACTTAATATGTGTGGTCCAGATAAAAGAATGGAAAGGGGAGACATGACTGAAATACATCAAGGTGCTGAATAATGTGTAGGAAGGCAGTATTATCAATATGAAGCAAAGATGAAGAACATGTGGGCATGACGTCAAACTAGCAGATGGAAACTTCAAAGCTAATCTTAGAAAGTATGAACTCCCTTATTTATTTATTACAGGTACCTACTGTATATAACACCATCAATTTACACAACACTGTAACATATATATTGTATATTCACATCAGTCCCTAACCCTCAAGGTGCTTACAATCTAAAGTCCCTAAACACACATACATACACATATTAGGACCAATTTAGACAGGAGCCAATTAATCTACCAGCATGTCTTCAGATTGTGAGAGGAAACTGAGTACCCAGAGGAAACCCACACAGGCACAGGGAGAACATGCAAACTCTAGACACAAACATATAGAAACACCGCTAAGGTGAGTAAAATGGCCAATCCTAAAGCCTATCCCACTGACAGGTACAGGCCCACCTCGCTACCGCACTGAATTGTAACGAAAAGGAAGGATGGTCACACTCCGCAAAAGGATACTGAAGATAAAATGTCTTTATTCCAAATGACAAAACACAGGATGCAGGGGATTGGTTGACTGGTTTCACCCAATTTCAGTGCTTATAAGCGCATTATTCACTGTATCTTGTGCATTGCCATCTGAAATAAAGACATTTTATCTTCAGTATCCCTTTTGCAGAGTGCAGCCATTCTTTCTTTTCTTTACATGCAAACTCTAGGCAGGTAGTGCCATGGTTGGGATTCAAACCGCCAACCCTAGTGCTGCTTGGCGGAAGTACTAGCCACTTAGCCACTATGCCTTTGTCTGAGCCAAAGAATAGTTCATGCATGGAATATTCTTCCAACAGAGGTTGTGCATCAGTCATACAGTAAGTGGATTCAACAAAGTTAAAATAAAACAAATATACATTTTTTAAATACATTTTCCTGCTGTCACTCTTCTATGTTTCCCTATATCTCACATTGTTATATATTTGGCAGAGTTTGAAGCACTTGATAAAGCTGAGAGTCTGGCACGTGGGGCAGCTCTGAAATGGGCATCTGGTGTATTTTGTCGTCCTGACCAGCTGGCACATCTTGGTCAGTATCGGAGGCGGGAGACACAGCGCAATAACTCCATCCAGTCCCGGCTAAAAGTAAGTGACACCCTCGTTTAGAAATCCATTGATGGTTGTAGGAGGAAGAACCCAGCTCACAGAGAAAGCACACCAGGAAAGGCTAACTGTTAAGGATTTTGTGCAGCTTACTTAATATAGCTGAGCAGATGTATAGCTACTCCCAGGGGTGGACTGACAACTCATGGGGCCCCTGGGCAATAGGGGATCATGGGGCCCCTGTGTCCTCGCCCCACACCCAAAAAAGCCTATAAAAAAGCCAATGAAAGGTACCAGGGGCATCTTATGGGGCCCCCTACTGACCCCGGGCCCTCGGGCAGTGCCGAGTGCTCGAATGGTCAGTCCGCCTCTGGCTACTCCTAACTTCACTAAACAGGTGAAGAGCTCTTATCCATTCAGGAAATCTTACAAAAATGTGCTTTAAGTAAGAATGCAAATCATTTGGTACGAAACTGTATCTGAAGCACATGTAGAGACAGTACCTTGGCATATTGTCCTATGCTTTGCTGATTGCAAAAACAACTCATGGGGCCCTAGAGATTCATCAGAGTATGGCCACATGGGGAGCTGGGAGGTTTCTCATGCTCTGCTCCAATCAGCACATAAAGCTATGATAAGGAATAAAGTTGGAATTGTTTCAATGGCTGAATGCAGTGTGTTCTAGTGAATCTGAGTTTTCGGCTTTGCAGAACTCATTGGGCCCACCAAGTAACTCAGCAATGCCCAAGCATCCTAATATGAATGTCCCTGGTCACCATTTAGAAGGTTGCTGGTTGATATGTTCTCGTCTGTGTTCACAGTCAGCACTTCAGTCGTATTTGGAGGGAGTTGATCTTGGCCTCTCTCAGCTTCGAGTGGCACACACCGAGGTTCACCATATCCAAAAGGCGCTCAGTGAGGCTCAGGAAATCTGGCGAGCCAGTGAAGGGTCGCTCAGCCACCAAGAGACCATTCGACATTTGGTGATGGAGCACAACCAGTTGTCTGTGGTCATACAAAGTTTGCCTCACGTCTATGCAGGTAAAGACAACAACAGGGATTTCTTTGTCATGTCTTGGTAAGAAAATTAGCTAGACTATTTTCCAAAATTCAGAGCCCCAAATTGCCAGAATTAATTCAATAAATTCTTGCATTTTCTGTGGACTGGACAAAACACTGACATTTCTTTGACCATCAGTCAGTAAATGGAAACTGAATGAGACATGAATATTTCATATGATTTCTGCAGAATTCCCAAAATAGTGAATGATATCCATTGTTATTGATTTGTCCCCAGTGCCGAAGCTGATCGATCAGACAAAGGTGTTCATTGAGAAGCAGCAACTACTGGAGGCTCATGTCAATCTACGTGATATGGAGAGCCTGAGAGACGATGTGTTGTACAGGCTACAGAAGGCCAGGCCATTGTTTAGCACCACTGAGGATGGCCATCAGAATGGGGAAGCTTTGGATCTAGTTAGACAGTTTTTTGCCAGGGTTCAGGATCTGAGTGAGGAATTGGGTTGTACTATGTTCTCACTGGCTCACTCAGCCCTGACTGTAGCACACTGCGACCCATCAATCCTGGTCTCTGCTGTCCGCATCATTGAGCGAGAAGAACTTCTGGATGTTGAAGAGTCGAGGGGTCCTCCACAGCTCTTGTGGAAACCTCCAGGACGACCCAAGAGATGGAGAGAGAAATTCTTCCAGGCACTGGAGAAGGGTGTCTGTGAGAGACTAATGGAATCCACCATGGAGTCAGAGGAAATAAATCCAACAGACTTGGTCAAACATTTTAAGGACATCCAGTGCAGAATGATGGAAGAGCTTCTGGCTGCATCTGCAGTACTAGCACCTTGTGTTCCTCCACACTACGACCTGTGCCGAAATATTGGTAAAATGTGTCACCAGATTATATCTCGCCATCTGCGTGAGATTCTCAGTCACGAGCTTTCTCATCCTGTTCTGTACTGTGTCCTTCATTGGATGACTATTGTCTACCCCAGGTAAGACAGCATGATTGCTCAGCCATGGTCACATGAACAGTGGACTGTCTGAGGGCTGTATTGGCAACCCATCTATTTCTTTACAACTAATACAAAAACGTGTAGCGCTCCACTAATATAGAATTAAAAATTGTAAAATTAATATACTCCCAGTATATATATATTTAAGCCATGTATGATCAACAAATCTCTTAAACCATATACATTTATAACATACGTGATCCTCTAAATATCCGTGCTTATTTCCACATTCCGTGAAGCATTAATAAATGTGTAAACTTCATGCAAAAAAAAAAAATGTTTACATATATATCAAAAAAATTATCAAACAAAATATAAATTTAAATTTATATATATCTCAAAAGTCTGCACAATGATGTGTTCTCTTTACGTGCTCCATCACCAGTGTGCGCTCACCATATTTCTATGACCAAACCGTTAAGTAAGGTCAAAAACAGCTTGCGTCCCTTTAAATGGACTTGTGGGTGAATGTAGGTTTATATCCCTGTCCCAGATGGATGGGTGTAGTAATTCCCCTTTTCCAGCAGGGGTCTTGGTGTTTTTTATAGAGACCTAATTTCCTGGATTCTGGTGGATGGATGGATTTATCGCTCTCTCCTCCAGGGGGTCTCTCCTCTCCTTGAATTTCATACAATCAAAGAATATGACATAGTGCCTTATCTCCTTTTAAAAGTATTTATTATGCTTTAAAAAATAATGCACTCACATTATAAAAGACATAAAACCACTTTGTATTGCAATATATACTGTCCTCTGTGTGTTCTCCACATACTCGCCGTGAGATTTTCCTTTAAGCGTTGTGATGTCAGAGCTCCTCCCCTACGCGTTACGCTACCGAGTCACGCGGCTTCATCAGGGGAAAATTGATTCTATTTATTTATTTATTGGATTTCAAAAGAAGTTTCAGACATTTATGGTATAGCACAGCCTATCCCTTTATAGAGGTCATTATTGTCCACAATCATTTCTAGCACCAACTCTCACAGTCTACATCTCAAAATAATGCCTAATTCTGTAATGCTACAAATATAACCTGAAATCCAGACGCAGTCATGATTCACAGTATCAATATGAAATAGTTATCGAAAAGTCATGTTACTGTCTGAACTCCAGACATATTTGTACCATCCTCACTGATTCCTAATATTATTTTCTGCACTATAAACAACATATCTTTAGTAAGATGTCACCCAACATACAACACATGATACAATCTGTCACCCAACATACAACACATGCAATCTGGCTATTATAGCCTGAAGAAACGTTCTTTGCTTCCATCAACCTCTACCCTAAATTTGTCCCAACTTCTGGGCCAACTTGGCCAAGTTGACCAAGTTATAATGGCCAATAATATATGAGGGGAATATATCGATACAGGACCTAGTCTGCTTTTTCCAGGGTCAGCAAGCATTTTATTCCCACATGGTATATCATTGGTAATAGTTTGCATTAGTGGAAGATCTTCCAACCATCAGATGCAACATTGACATGTGGAAGGGTTGCACCATACATTGGGGACACTGACATGTGCAACTGAGCTCCATGCATCGGGGACATGTATCAATGGCACAGAAATCAGATTATTCATCAGGTGACAATTGTATGATGAATCTTGGACAGATACTGATTTTGCTCTACAGTGAGAGATGGACCCCAAAGGGACACACAATGGGGGTGTGGCTGCAGCTCTATTCTGTCTCACCTAAGGGAGGAATGTATGATTGAAAATGTACTCTTCTAGTAAATATGTCTCTGAATCTCATTGCTCCTGTTTAGCATTGTGATAGAATTGTCCTTATGTCCTGTCCAGATAAATACACCTCATCCTTTCCTGACATTCAGAATGAACCAACTAAGAAGACGATCCAGAGGAGTCCAAAAGTCCTTGTCATTTGTGCCAATCTTATGGCTCTGCCAAGTGGTGTAGGACCTGGAACAGTGCAGGGACCATTAGATGGGAGAACAATCATCCCCAGGAACTCCTAATAACCTCAGGGGGAACACTGATTGGGAATGGTTGCTCTATAACTGTGGTCTCCAAACTGTGGCCCATCGCTTGCCTTTATCCAGTCCTTGAGGCATTTCCTTGAGGCATTATTCCTGCACTGACACCAACAATAGGGCATAATTCCTGCTACTGACACCATTAATGGGGCACTATTCCTTCCACTGACACCAACAATGGGGCATAATTCCTCCCACTGACACCAATGATGGGGCACTATTCCTCCCACTGATACTACCAATGATGGGGCACTATTCCTCCCATTGACACCAGCTATTTCTCCCCCTAAGACAGTGGTTCTCAACCTTCCTAATGCCGTGACCCTTTAATACAGTTCCTCATGTTGTGGTGACCCCCAACCATAAAATTATTTACTCAGTAATTATAATTCATGAGTGTCGTTTTACCTCCAATACTGCTGCTTTCAACACAGTAGCTGCTTTTAACAGAGTAGCTGCTTTCAACACAACAGCTGCTTTCTACACAGTAGCTGCTCTTTAGACATCGGAAATATGTGTTTTCTGATGGTCTTAGGGGACCCCTGTGAAAGGGTCGTTCGACCCCCAAAGGGGTCGCGACCCACAGGTTGAGAACCACTGCCCTAAGACCAAAGATGTGGCATTGTTTACTCCCACTGAGCACAGTCCGGCCCCCCTAAAGGATGGTAAACTGGCCATTTGTTCAAAAAATTTGGAGACCCTTGCTCTACAACATCTGGAGAACTAGAAGGACTGCGTGTGGTCTTAGAATGCAAGTGTACAATCCAAACGCACGTTCCTGCCTTAAAAATGGCTGTGTGTATAAGTGGGTGCTGCAGCGACCATCGGCTGGAACCGAACAGAATCAACAAGGGAAAATGTCACCAGCACACGAGGATCACCAATATGGGTCCAAAAGTTTTAATGAACGGTCACATAGTTACAGCAAGGCAACGTTTCGGAGTCTCACAGGACCCTTTCATCAGGCATGTGACCACATATTGCTGATCCTTGGTGTGCTGGTGACATTTTCCCTTGTGTGTGGTCTTAGGCGCCCTGCAGTGTTAGTGACTCTAGGACTGCATGTGGGCCTAGGTACTGTATATAGCAGTGTTAGCCAAGTGACTCTATACCATCTGGAGAGTGGGAAGGATTGTCTTTGTGGTTCTAGGTGCTCCGCAGTGTTAGTAGAGTGACTCTATACCATCTGGAGAGTGCAAGGACTGTGTGTGTGGTTCTAGGTGCTCCGCAGGGTTAGCAGAGTGACTCTATACCATCTGGAGAGTGCAAGGATTGTGTGTGTGGTTCTAGGTGCTCCCCAATGTTAGCAGAGTGACTCTATACCATCTGGAGAGTGAGAAGGACAGTGTGTGTGGTTCTATGTGCTCCCCAATGTTAGCAGAGTGACTCTATACCATCTGGAGAGTGCAAGGACAGTATGTGTGGTTCTATGTGCTCCCCAATGTTAGCAGAGTGACTCTATACCATCTGGAGAGTGGGAAGGATTGTTTGTGTGGTTCTAGGTGCTCCCCAATGTTAGCAGAGTGACTCTAAACCATCTGGAGAGTGGGAAGGATTGTTTTGTGTGGTTCTAGGTGCTCCCCAATGTTAGCAGAGTGACTCTATACCATCTGGAGAGTGGGAAGGATTGTGTGTGTGGTTCTAGGTGCTCCCCAATGTTAGCAGAGTAACTCTATACCATCTGGAGAGTGCAAGGACTGTGTGTGTGGTTCTAGGTGCTCCCCAATGTTAGCAGAGTAACTCTATACCATCAGTGACTCTATACCATCTGGAGAGTGGGAAGGATTGTGTGTGTGGTTCTAGGTGCTCCCCAATGTTAGCAGAGTAACTCTATACCATCTGGAGAGTGCAAGGACTGTGTGTGTGGTTCTAGGTGCTCCCCAATGTTAGCAGAGTAACTCTATACCATCTGGAGAGTGCAAGGACTGTGTGTGTGGTTCTAGGTGCTCCCCAAGTGTTAGCAGAGTAACTCTATACCATCTGGAGAGTGCAAGGATTGTGTGTGTGGTTCTAGGTGCTCCGCAGTGTTAGCAGAGTGACTCTATACCATCTGGAGAGTGGAAGGATTGTCTTGTGTGGTTCTAGGTGCTCCGCAGTGTTAGCAGAGTGACTCTATACCATCTGGAGAGTGGAAGGACTGTGTGTGTGGTTCTAGGTGCTCCCCAGGGTTAGCAGAGTGACTCTATACCATCTGGAGAGTGGGAAGGACAGTATGTGTGGTTCTAGGTGCTCCCCAATGTTAGCAGAGTGACTCTATACCATCTGGAGAGTGGAAGGATTGTGTGTGTGGTTCTAGGTGCTCCCCAATGTTAGCAGAGTGACTCTATACCATCTGGAGAGTGCAAGGACTGTGTGTGTGGTTCTAGGTGCTCCCCAATGTTAGCAGAGTGACTCTATACCATCTGGAGAGAGTGGGAAGGATTGTGTGTGTGGTTCTAGGTGCTCCCCAATGTTAGCAGAGTAACTCTATACCATCTGGAGAGTGCAAGGACTGTGGTGTGGTTCTAGGTGCTCCCCAATGTTAGCAGAGTGACTCTATACCATCTGGAGAGTGGGAAGGATTGTGTGTGTGGTTCTAGGTGCTCCCCAATGTTAGCAGAGTAACTCTATACCATCTGGAGAGTGGGAAGGACTGTGGGGTTCTAAGTGTGCTGCAGTGGTAGTGAAGTGACTCTATAACATCCAGAGATTGTGTAGTCAGGGGAGTCAGGCTGGCTCAAAATTTATGGACTCTTTTTGTATGAATTGTCCCACTGGGGTCCCTATAGTTAGAACTGTCTCTTTGATGGACTGACTCTGACCTGGACATTCAGTTGTGAAGTCTGATTCTCACGCTTCTGATGGTTGTGTGTTCCAGCGAGGATCTGATGGCACATCCAGATCTGTCCCCAGAGATTGATGTATCTGAGCTGGGGCCCCTTATCCCCACAGAAGTGATGGATGAGCAGATGAACCGCTATACACGCAGTATGATGCAGGAGGTGGAGATTTCATATATGACGTGATATATCCCAACCAATTGGGGTTCAGCTCTTGGTAGAGGGTCCACCTGTCACCCCCCCCCCCCCCAGAGTGATTCTCATGACATTGTTTTCTTTTCCAGGCCTGTCTGAGCCAATGGATACACAAAGCACTAGATGTGGAGTATTCTGATTGGATGAGGGATCAGGAGCCAGATAAAGACCAAGACGGCTTCTACCTGTCTGGTGTGCAGCAGATTGTCATGCAGGTGGGACGCTGGTCACCAATAGCAGCACGAGTTGTGTGGCAGCTTAGCTGACGGTCTAGTGATGGGGAATATGTCACCCTTAGTGCCCATACAGTGTGTGTAGCTGATCACGCTTTGTATCTTAGAACTTGGAGAAATCTGCAGGAAAATTTGGGAGTGGCAGAGACACAAACCACTGCGGGGAATTCTCAAAATTGTGGGAGGGGAAGAGACACAAATCAATGCGGGAAACCTCACCAGTGTGGGAGGGGCAGAAACAAACCACTGTGGGAAATCTCACCATTTTGGGAGGGGAAGAAACTACTTCAGGAAATATCGCCATTGTGGGAGGGGCAGAAACAAACCACTGTGGGAAATCTCACCATTTTGAGAGGGGCAGAAACTACTGCAGGAAATATTCCCATTGTGGGAGGGGCAGAGACACAAACCAATGCAGGAAATATCACCATTGTGGGAGTTGCAGAAACAAACCAATGCAGGAAATATCACCATTGTGGGAGGGGCAGAGACACAAAATCCTGCAGGGAAATGTCACCATTGTGGGAGGGGCAGGGACACAAAATCCTGCAGGAAATGTCACCATTGTGGGAGGGGCAGAGACACAACCTACTGCAGGAAATGTCACCATTGTGGGAGGGGCAGAGACACAAGCTACTGCAGGGAAATTTCACCATTGTGGGAGGGGCAGAGGCACAAACTACTGCAGGGAAATGTCACCATTGTGGGAGGGGCATTGACACAAACCACTGCAGGGAAATTTCACCATTGTGGGAGGGGCAGAGACACAAACTACTGCAGGGAAATTTCACCATTGTGAGAAGGGCAGAGACACAAACCACTCTGGGGAAATGTATTCCTTTTGGGAGGGGCAGAGAGCAACCTCTGCCAGAGATTTTGCCATTGTGGGAGGAGCAGAGAAAGACTATTGCAGGGAAATCTTATCATAGTGGGAGGGGCAGAGACACAAACTGATGAGGGTAAATTTTACTACTGATGCATTCCAGATATATAACTGTCAGTAGTTGTAGAATGAAACAAAGTACAAATATTAAAAAACACAGATCTCAGAATGGGAATGATTGTGTTGTCATGAGAAGATGACACATGTTGATCATTTGCAGATGCTGATGGAAAACGTTCAGTTGGCGTCTGCCCTGGGTGAGGGCCTAGAGAGCCGCATGAGAACAGCTGCACTCTGCGAGATGGAGAACTGCCTGGTATGGTGAGTCAGCACCGATATACTGTAGATGATCAACCTCAATGGAGATATTGTGCTATTGATACATTGTTTTTCCACTACAGGTTACGGGAGACTCTGGTGAAATATGGGATAGAACATATGAAGGAGCGAACCTTCCCGCCACATTATATCCCCTACCTCCTGGCCATTATAAACGCATGCTCTGCTCTCAGGTATCTGTTTGGATTGATTCCCCAAATGTGTGATTTCCACTGACCCTTCAACCATAAAAGGAAGTCCACTGGGGTAATAACATATCAGGAGGTTTGGGGAGGGTATCCCAATAATGGTCATTGCTGGATCCATTAGAACTGAAATCTTCTTTTCTATTTGAAATTATTTTCATTATAAATTTGAGATGAAGAAAAACAGGGACATGACCTCAAACTAGAAGGAGGAATATTCAAAACTAACCCTAGAAAATACTATTTTACTGAAGAAGTAATTGATACTTGGAGCAGGCTCCCAGCAAAGGTAGGAAATCCACAGTAAGTAAATATAGACTTACTCAAGGCATATCTAGGTTTACACTCAGACTACTTGTACATGGGTTGGAGGACCAGTGTAGTTTCTGATCTTCAGCCCATGTATCATCCAGAGCAGCCTGTTTCAACCAGCACCCTGGGGAACCTTAAGTTTTCTTGAGGGGTACCTTAGCAAAATGCTTAAAAATTGCCCAAAAAATTGTATACAAGCCAGATGGTGGATCAAACCTACATTCATTGTGCACTATTACAAGCTTCCATCCACCAACGTCCTTACAATTAATGGCTTCATTGGAGGATGATGGGTACTGTCAGGGATCGCGGCTCCGTAGTCCCGGATCGCGGCGCCGTCCCCTGCGCATGCGCACTGGTGGCAGATCGCGCCGGGACACAGGCACTAGGTCCCGGCGAGCCGCGGCTGACAGGACGCCGCGCATGCGCAGTAGGAGCCGCGGGCGCGCCTCAGGCGTCCAATGACAGCCGGGGTGCGTCCTAGCCGGCCAATGACAGTGCAGGGCACACTATTTAAAGATGCCCTGCACTGTCACAGATTGCCGCAAGGTCTTTCTGTGATTCTGAGTTCCTGCACCCGTCTAGTGACCCTGATTGACCCTGACTACGCTGCCTGCCCCTGTGATTGACTTGGATTGCCCTGACTACGCTGCCTGCTCCTGTGATTGACCCGGATTGTCCTGACTACTCTGCCTGCTCCTGTGATTGACCCGGATTGCCCTGACCATTCTACGGACTGACTTACCCTGCTGATCCTGCGTGTGACCTGACTACTCTTTGCCCACCGATTCTGTACCCCGCTTACCCTCACGGGCCCACGATCCGTTACTACCCTGCTGGGGCCGCCATCCTCTTCACATCTGGCTCTCCCGGTACCTGCATACGTCCCCGGAGGTCTCCTCATCCACTGGTGGGCCTGCTCGGAGGTCGTGACCTGGCCCGGGACTGTTTCAAGTCCATCCCCACCATCAGGGGCCCTGGTGAAAGCACAGCCCGGGCTTAGACCCCACGCTCTGAGTAGGTCTGTCAGTTGGCAGCCTGAGGCACCACCTGGCGGATCATAACAGGTACCTTCACAGCATCTTTATATGCCTCTCCCCTGACACTTTCCATCAGCACTGGGGTGGGGGAACAGAGAAACATTGAAATACTAGTTAGTGGCAGTGCTCAAAGGTGTATTTGGTTTGGAAGAATGAATCACCTCTAACGTTGGGTGTTCTACATGGTTGGATGTTGCTGCATTAGGTAAAACTATTAGTTTAGTTTTTTACATTTTAGAATGGGGTGCCTCAACAATGTGTAGAAATTTAAAGGGTGCCTTGAATGGAAAAATGTTGAGAAATACTGATCTAGAGACTCAGGTCATGAGACCTATATGTACTAAATTTCTCCATCTCCACTGTTCTATTACCCTACATTTGCCAGTTCTTCCATTGGACAGTTACAGCCGGAGGAATTGCATTTTCCTGCATTCAGTAAAGCTGCTCCATGCCTGCAGACATCCCTTGACAAGACCCAGAAGAAAGCTTGCCATCTCCTTCTGGATGAGTTGCAGACCGACTTTCAGGTACTTACTGAGGAACAGACAACTTGCATCATCCTCACCTTCTCTGTCCACTCCTGTCATCTGCCTGTATATCCCAGTACATCTCTACGTCTTCCTGTCCCCTATATTCCCATATCCCTGAATTCTCATATCCTATTCCGCTGGCCTCTGTTTCGGGGCTTCCCTGTATATCTGTGTATTTCCTTATGCCATTCCAGAGGCCTCTATTCTGGGAACCTCCATGTATATCTCTGTATGCCCATATTCCATTCCTTTGGCCTCTACTTTAGGACATTCCTGTATTTCTCTGTATTCCCATATTCCATTCCACTGGCCTTTATTCCAGAACATCCCTGTATATCTCTGTATTCGCATATTCCTTTCCACTGGCCTCTATTCTGTGACATCCCTGTATATTTCTGTATTCCTGTATCCCATTCCACTGGTCCCTATTCCAGGATATACTTGTTCATCTCTGTATTCCCATATCCTATTCCCCCAGTCACTTTCCCAGACATGCCTGTATATCTCTGTATTCCCATATACCATTCCACTGGCCTCTTTTCTGGAACATCCCTGTATATCTCTGTATTCCCATATCCCATTCCACTGGCCTCTATTCCAGGACATCCCTGTATATCTCTCTATTCCCATATCCCATTCCACTGGCCTCTGTTCTGGAACATCCCTGTATATCTGTGTATTCCCATATCCTATTCCACCAGCTTCTATTCCAGGACATCCCTGTATATCTCTCTATTCCCATATCCTATTCCACTGGCCTCTATTCCAGGACATCCCTGTATATCTCTGTATTTTTATTTACCTTCCCCACTGGCCTCTATTCCAGGACATCCCTGTATATCTCTGTATTTTTATTTACCATCCCCACTGGCCTCTATTCCAGGACATCCATGCATTTCTATATTCCTTACCCTTTAGCCTCCATTCAGGGATCACACCTTTCTGTATTTTTATTTACCTTCTTTCCCAGCCTCTGTTCCGGAACATCCCGTCTCGTCCTTGGTTGTCTGGTTCGGACACTGTACGGATAATCTGCGAAAAGATGGAACAGTTTGGACAGTACCTTTCCCAAGTACGCTCACCATTAAATCAGGTGAGTCCATCATCAAGGGTCTTCCATTGCCCCCTGTTGCAGTTTGATGATCAGTCAGTGTGATGTTCATGTTACCCCATATTCCATGAATGCATGAATGGACGTGTCATACATACAGTAGCTAGGTAGAGTTCAGTCATTGATAAGAGTATTGGTGGGTGGTGGGGCTCCTGAAGTCTTTACAGTTCTGAATGTTCTTGTTTTTCAGTATCTGCTGACACAGGTAGAGAGAATGGTTACCATCGAGTACGTCAAAGCTCTTCTCCACAGTAAACTGGTGTGCCGGAACTGTGCGGAGCGGCTGCAGCTCGCGCAGAGGATGTCCATGGATGCCGAGGAACTGAAATCTTCCTTCCACAGGATGGTAAAAATGCTTCCCCTATTGTGTGAGAATAGGGGGGGGGTGCTGTTAAATACTGTATATGGATGGGACTACAGTGCAAAGGACAGCAAAGAGTCACGTATATTGCTGGGCTGTAGAAAACAATCTAATGTAAGTGATTGGGGTTAAAGAGTTTCTGGGCATGATGTAGGGTCTGTCGCTGGGCATGGCGCAGGGTATGTGGCTCAGCTCTGTAGGACCAGCAGTTGGATACGTGTTTTAGTCTTGGACTGAAATCGTCCACTGCTTATCTGTTCCTGTCCAAAATTTATGACGCTAGCTTTGAAATGTGTGCACATTGGAAGGGACTCACGCTGACACACAAGTTCAGTCTATGAATACTTCTAGTTTATTATAATGAGAAAGTGAACTTATATATGCAGAATGATGCGAGAGTCATGTGACAACAGCATAAGCATTATATTAGTCTTTGATTGGTCATTTCCACACGAAAACAATCTCCGTCATGGTATAGGTGTGATCTTCTTCAGTCTTATCTTATAGAGAAGAAAAACATTCCTTTGTTTCCCAAATCACACGGTGGGAGGGGGTCTGTGTGTGTGAGCAGACATTTCTTAAGCAAGGATTTCTTATAGTACCACAAAGCCCAGCAGGCAGAAAATATTCACACAACATATGTATTAAAGTATAAAAGTAAATATTTATAAAACTTATAGAAATAGCGTATATATATATATATATATTCAATAGGAAACAAAATAGGCATTTTACCAAATCCATCACATACGGAGCAAAGTCAACAGCATAGGGTCAGCGACTGAGCACCGCTTAGGGTGTGTGGCTGGACACGATGTAGGGCAAGAGGCTGGGCACGGTGTAGGGTCAGTGGCTTGGCAGACTAAATAAACTAAAATACATACAAAACTTGTGCACATTGAAGAGTAACAATGCAGACTGAGATTTAGGTCTGATTTCTGTAATCTCGGAAGCGACGAGGTGAATATTTCACAGATTTTGGCAGATTCTTTGTTTTGCAGCGTTGGTAAAAATTCTGTATGGCATCCATCTTGTTTTGCTACCCTCTCAGGGCCTGGAAGATTCAAACCTCTGTGTTCCCCTCATCCTCGCTCTTCAGGAACTCTTTGCCCTGAAGGATCCATCATTGCTGAGTCTGGAAATATCAGGACTGATGAGTGCCTTCCCCGATATCAGGTAATTTCAAGATGTCCAAAGTGATCATGATGGCGTGATCATTTTTGTTGTTACTGGTTGCGTCCTGTATACATTATAATTTCTTAAACATGGCAGCGGGTTAAATCTTTGTCTAAACCTGCATGTACTGTGTGAATCATAACTGACACTGGTCTGCAGGATTTCTCTTACAGCTTCCTGGAAAGTTTCTGTATTTTTTGTATCAGCTGACATGGCTTCTCAGAAGGGAGGTTCATGGTGGAAAATATTGCAGTGTGATGGTGTTGGGTCTGGGACTTCAGTGCTATATTCCCAGTTATTTTTTTTGGATCTAGGAATAGAATACTATATATATGGGAAATTAGTGCTCTATCATCTGTGATCCAGTTGGGTCTAGAACCACAGTGCTGAATTGTCAGGGATCTTGATAGGTCTAGGACCGCACCGCACACTATATTTTCTATAAAGTACCTCTAGGGTCACAGTACTCTACTCTTGAAGATCAGGTTCTCACTAGAATGATGGTAGTATATATTCAGTGAACCATTTGGGTCTAAGACCAATGTGCTCTAGTCTCAGTAATCATGTTGGGTTTGGAAACAATGTGCTATTTCTTTAGTGGTTTCAATTAAACGTAAGTCTGCAATGCTATCCAGCTGGGTGTGGGATGGCAGTGCTATATCCTTAGTGATTCAATTGAGTCTGGGACTGTAATACTATATCTTTAATAATCTGACTGAAACTGGGACCATGCTGCTATATTCTCCTTGATCCTGTTGTGTCTGACACCATGGTACTATATCCTCGGTGATCTTCTTAGGTTTGAAATCATGGTGCCATATTCTCAGTTATCTTGTTAGGTATGAGACAATGGTACTATATCTCCACTGATATTGTTATGTTATGTACTATATCTCCACTGATATTGTTATGTCTGAGACAATGGTACTATATCTTATATCTTGTTATGTCATGGTACTGATTCTCTGTGATCTTGTTAAGTCTGAGACCATGGTACTATATTCTTGGTGATCCTGTTAGGTCTGGGACCATGGTACTATATTCTTGGTGATCCTGTTAGGTCTGGGACATTGGTGCAATATCTTTGGTGATCTTATTAGGTTTGAGACCATGGTGCAATATCCTCAGTGATCCTGTTAGGTATAGGACCAGGGTACTACAGTATATCCTTGGTGATCTTTCTAGGTCTGAGACCATGGTACTATATCCCTGGTGACCCTGTTAGGTCTAGGACCACAGTACTATAACTTTGATGATCATGTTGGGTCTGGCACCAGAGCTATGTCCTCGGTGATGTTGTTGGGTTTGGGATTATGGTAATATAACCTTTTGTGGTTCTGTTGGGTCTGGTAAGGTGGTGCTATGTCCTTGGTTATCCTGTTAGGTCTGGGACAGCAGTGTTATATTCTAGGTGATCTTGTTGGGTCTGGGACTGTAATGCCATATCCTTGGTGATCCTCTCGGTAACCCTTATTGTGTTTTTCTCTTCCACAGTGATGATCACGTCTTGGCATTACTGGAACTAAGGGGTGACGTAAGCCGTGACATCCGCCATACTGTTCTCAGCACAATGCAGCGTCAGGCCCTCTCTCTTCCAGAAGATTTTCGTCCGATTTTTATCAGTATCCCTGTCCCTGCCCCTCCCCCTCCATTTTGCCTCCACCCCAGTTCCTGCGCCTAAACTTCCACAATCAGCTGTGGGGCTGAACTACTGCAGGAGCTATCAGAATGCCCCCTGCCCCCCCCCCCCCCCCCCATATTTCTATGTAAATCAAATAATAATTTTATACTATTTGATTAAAAAACAATCAACATACATTGGTGTATCTGGGGTTCTTTGCACAAAATGTTATGATGACTCCATCTCAGGGGCGGACTGACCATTTGGAAACTCGGGCACTGTCCGAGGGCCCGGGGTCAGTAGGGGGCCCCATGGGATGCCCCTGGTACCTTTTTCATAGGCTTTTATGAGTTTGGGCAAGGACACAGGGGCCCCATGATCCCCTATTGCCCGGGGGCCCCATGAGTTGTCAGTCCACCCCTGCTCCATCTGTTTTAAACTTAATCCTCCTAAATATTGATCAGAGATGACAGAACTGTTTAGGAGCATCTCCTAACACAGTGGGGACAAATAGATGATCAGGGTGCAGAGAGGGGAATTGTCACAGGGGAGATGACGAACATCAAGAAAAAAAGTAGCAAATTCTGAAAAATGATCTGTTACATGGTGGGGATCATAAGCAGTCCTACCTCGCCCAGTCTAGGCACTCTTTTCTGTTGCACATCTCACAAATTGCCATATTTTTTTTTTTGTTGAAATATCACAAATTGGGATTTCTTCTGTTTCTGATGTGCATGTCACATTCCGCAGGACCGTGCTTTGGGAACCATTGTTTGTTTCACCGTTGATAGTTTATCAGCCCGATGTATCTGTTCAACTTCCTGTTCCTACAGGGAAGACATTTTCCTCCAGAGGCCAACTTCCCATCCCAGTGGTGATCCCTGCAGTCAGTGATTGGCTCGTCAAGACAGCCAGGCAGTTACAATTTCAGAAGAATTCAGCAATATCAGAATTCAGAAATTTCTCTTCGTACTGGTTTCTTTTAAAGTATATCTTAAAGTGGTTGTAAACCCTTACATATACTCAGTGAAGGGACTATCCTCAGGTTATACACAGAGATAAAATAAATCCTCCTACAAAAGGTGTACCTGTTTATCTGCCATCTTCTCTTCTCTACATCCATTCAAAGTGCTGAATTTATAGGCTTGTCTGAGAGTTCTGAAAAAAAGGGGGCAGAGAAATGAAATTACACACTTATAAACAAAAGGTGCAGCGCTGATATATGAAAATGAAATAAATTATGTGACCAGACAATGTTATAGTGTAACAAAATGATAAGAATTGACCAATAATAACTGTCCAACATAGGGGCCAACTGAGAACTCATGGGGCCCCCGGGAAATAGGGGATCATGGGGCCCCTGTGTCCTTGCCCAAACTAAAAAAATCCTATGAAAAAGGTACCAGGGACATCTCATGGGGCCCCATACTGACCCCGGGCCCTCGGGCAGTGCCTGAGTTTCCAAATGGTCAGTCCGCCCCTGGTCCAACATATGAAAGGCAACAACGTGAATATAATCCACTGTAATATGTTTCAAAAAAACTTGACCAAAAAATAGTCCCAAGAGTGATGTGAACCAATAATGACCAATAATGACTGTGACTTCTGTGATACTCCACCACCCCTATGCACTCACCAGAAGCAAAAAGCAAGCCATCATTGAATGAAAATGAACAGAATGTGGTAAATTATACTCGTGAGCCAACAATAAGATACTCCCCTTAACGTGATAAATAATGATCTAAAACCATATACAACTATTGGTGCTGCAGCACTTTACACACTGCTCATAAACTGTGTTAAGACCTAAAACATAAATAGTGATATATGTCTAAGCATACATCAACGTGCCGCGCTCCACATTCAAAGCTGTGCTGCTCATATATAGGTGATATTGCAAATGATACCGTGGAAACAAAGTGCTTCAAACAAGTGCAACATATAGTGCATAAATAAATACATAAAATATAACGATTGATGTTCTGCCAATTCTATAAACAGTCCTCTTTATGCTTCTATTATTATTTCAGTGACAGGTGAGATATATAGTGCCACACTTCCCGTGCTCTGTGGATAGGTGTGCGCTCACCTCCTTGTTAGCCAGACAAGCTGGCTAAACACACTTTTTTGTCCTCACTGGACAAGGTGGGAATCTTTACTTTAACTGCGTGTCTCCATCCAATACTGGGTTGCCTTATTGCCACCAGAGGTCTCTCCTTCCACACTTACACCTCAATGGATTTCTTATGGGGATGATGGGGATGATTTTTCCTCCTCTCAATTGCACCATGTAAAACAAGAAACCACAAATGGTGCCTTATCCTTTGTGAGGTCAGAGCCTATTTATTAATAGGAAAACGCCACTCACAGTTTCCATCAATTCAGTTGTCAGCTGGCATGTATGTCGATCCTGTTAGCTAGCGCCGCTCGTCCACCGCGGCGTCGTGACGTCAGAGCCCCTCCCCTACGCGTTACGCCACAGGGTCACGTGGCTTCATCAGGGGGAATGTAATAGGACGTCACTGCGCTCTGCTCTCTATATATAGAGACCGTCGGCGCCATTTTCTTGTGGTCCGCATGGGCGCGGCCATTTTCCTTTGGTCTAAATGTACCGATCTACTACTGATATGTGTAACACACATCAGAGGTTCTTATTAAAGTAACAGATGTGCTAGTTCCTTTTCTGACTACATTGTCACGATTTACCAGCCAGTATTGGATGGAGACACGCAGTTAAAGTAAAGACCTTTCCAGTGGGGGACAAAAAAAGTGTGTTTTTAGCCTCCAGGATCATGAGACACATACAGCTTTACAAATAATGGGTATAATCCAATAAAAACGGGTTACATACATAATAATAAAAATCTATCTATATTAATAATTTTATTTCAATGTATACTTTATATAAAAACATATAATAATTTAATAAACACTTAAATAAAATATATATGTGTATGTGCCCATTAATTAACATACCCATATATAAATATACTCCAACATTAAAAATGCATAAAAATACAATATAAAAAAACTATGAGTAAAAGTAAAACAATTAAAAAAATTTAGATCCACCAACCCACTAAATCATATGAGGCCCTCATGTACGCCTAGTACCTCTTGCTACCCCATTCTATATCTAGTGTGTATTTATTATCCCTGTTCCTTTATATTCCTTATTATTAGTATCATATCACTTCAAAATCCACTACAACCTATTCCTATACACCATGGTAAGGGCTGTTTCCTATTATTACACACTTCTATATAGTTATATGATTGTGAGTGTATGCCGTCTACATCTCGCAATGGTTACTCCTCTCCATGCAGCCCCTTATATTATAATTCTATAATCCCTATTGTAGGTGATAACAGATTTATTAAAATATTCTTTACAAATTACTAATAAAACACGTGAGGTCAAATTCCTTGTTCAAGCCATGCGGGGCCAGACATTTCATTTCATAAATCCACTTGGATTCTTTTTTACTCAACTCCCGTACCATATTATCACCTCTCCAGTGTCTATTGTGCTTCTCTATTCCCCAGAACTGTAATTTGGATGCATCTTGATTATGACATTGTCGGAAGTGTTCTGATACATAGTGGTATTTATATCCTCTGTTGATGTTGTATACATGCTCCTTAATGCGTTCTTTTAATTCTCTTTTTGTTCTGCCAATGTAAAAAAGGTTGCATGGACACTTCAACGCATACACCACTCCCATGGGGGAAATAACGCCAAATAACAAAAAAACATTGGAGTTTAAAACACCCCCTAACACTAGGAATAAAGGAGAACAAAACGCACCTACACAACATCGTCCAGATCAAAGTACACAAGGGTATAGGAAGCCCAATAATAAAAATTGGAAACCCAATTATAGAGGCCCACCCCAACAACCGTACTGGGGAGGTAGACCATACTATAATAAAAATCAGGGTGGTTACCCACCAAGAGGACCACAGAATTACTATCCACAGCCTAATTTTTATACACAATACCCACCTAGACCCCAAAGACCTCAATTTTACAACAAACCCATGGATGACAGATATGAGGTACCGCAATATAATAGATTCTCACCATTAGCATCACAAACACCAGATACACCAATATATGACCCTTTTTTAGGATGGAACCAGTACCCTCAAGTAGAAAGGGGGGAAACAAAAGGAAAACCAAAAAGAGGGGGTGTAGAGGAGGAAGAAGGCAACAACAAAAAAAGAAGGAGAGACTAAAAGGAGAGGGGATCTTTAATATCAGTGGAATCCCTCTCAAAAAAGAAGAGATTTATGCGTTAGATAAGGGACTCAAGTTTGCACCCACTAAAGGCATGAATAAATTTGATACTTACGTAAATTTACAAAAATTAATTAGAAATCTAAACCTTAAGAAATACTTTGCACAGTACCCAACCAATGTGATTGACCCCAATAAATCTACATACGAATATCACACTAGTCTGAAAAATAAATCCACTTTCAACCCTACGAATATAGATGGTAAATATATTAATGTATTTAAGAATTTAGTGAGTAATGATCTAGAAAAATTGAGAATTAAAAAGTATAAAGAAGATACATACTTGAAGAAAGGTATAAAGAGTCTGAAGGAAAGAACAAATGTAGTGATCAGGCCAGCGGATAAGGGGGGAGGCATAGTGGTTATGTCTAAAGAACAATATGAAGACACTATGGAAGAAATGATGGGGGATACTAATACTTATCAGAAATTAACTAGAAACCCTACTAAAGAATATAAAAAAGAGCTGATCAAACTAGTTAAGTACGGGACCAAAAAAGGTGTATTAAATAGTAAAGAAGAAAAGTATCTAATACCCACTGTATGTAAATTACCGGTCATATATTCAGTACCCAAAATCCACAAGGATATCATCAAACCACCAGGACGGCCAATTATTAATGGCATAGACTCCATGACAGCCAGACTAGGAGAGTATATCGACAGCTTCCTACAACCCTTAGTAGAGAATACATTAGCATATTTGAAAGACACGAAGCATGCCATCAAGTTAACACAGGAAGTACAGGCACACAGC